AAAATACAGTAAAAAAATTATTAAAGTAATTCAAATGTTACCCAAGGGAAGATTTTCTTAAAGCACAAAAAAAAAACAGTAATGGTGGGAGAGAAGAACAAAGATGTGAGGCATATGAAAAACCCAAAAGGGTAGATATAAATCCAACTATATCAATAATAACATTAAATGTGAATGGATTCAGCAATTACTCAAAAAGCCTATTAAACTGGAAAACAAAAGAAGATCCAACTATATCTAACAGCTGTACACTCAAAGTTACGATGTGCTGACTGTAAAAAGACATAAACTATAACATAGAAATAAGAAAGCTGGAGTAGCTATAAAGATATCAGACAAAAATAAACTTAAAAAAAGTTAATAAAGAGAAGCAGTTTATAATGATTAAATGGTCATCTATCAAATTGATATAACAAAAATATTTATGCACCTAACAACAGTGACCCAAAATATATGAATCAAAAGTTGAAAGAACCAAAGGGAGAAATAGAGAATTGAACAATTGGAGACATCAATTCCCCACTCTCAACAATGGATAGAACCATGCAGAAAAGTAAGAAGAAAATAAAAGACTTAACAAACACTATAAGCCAGCCAGACCTAACAGATATTCATAGAACACTCTACTCAGCAATAGCATAACACACATTCTTTTTACAAGCACATGAAATATTCTCCAGGATAGACTATATCCTAGGCCATAAAACAAGCCTCAATAAATTTAAAAGTATTCAAATCATACAAAGTATGTTCTCTGACTACAATGAAATTAGAAATCAGTAACAAAGACATTTGAGAAATTAACCAGTAAGGAGAAATTAAACACACCCCTAAATAAATAATGGATCAAAGAATAAATTACAAGGGAATTAGAAATACTTTGAAATGAATGACAATAATGAAACAGCATACCAAAACTTAAGCATATGCGGGGAAAGCTTTGAAATTCCTAGAACAATACAAACTCCGAAAACTAACTCAGAAGAAATATAAATATGAGCAGATTGATTTAATACTCTAAAAAAAATTTAACAAAGAAAAGCCTAAGCTCAGATGGCTTCTGTGGTGAATTCTACCAAACATTCAAAAAGAATTAATACCAAATCTTCACAAATTCTTCTCTAAAACTACAAGAGAAGGGAACGGTTCCTGAGTTATCCTAAGAGCCCAGTACTGCCCTGATATCAAAAATCAGAAAAAGACAAGACAGGAAATTTACAGAGCAACGTCTCTGAAAAATATAGATATAAAAATCCTCAACAAAATACTAGCAAATCAAATCCAGCAATACCTAAAAAAAGATTACACATGGTAACTAACTGGTAATTATACCAGGTATGAAAGGTTGGTTGCAAACCGAAAAAACTAGAGTTAGAAGGAATGTCCTCAACCTGATAAAAGGGATCGATGAAACCCCACCACTGACATCATACTTAACAGTGAATGAGTGAAAGCTTTCGCCTAAGCTCGGGAACAGGACAAGGGTGTCTGTTCTTCCCACTTCTAGTCAACATTGTTATTAGAGGTTCTAGCTAGCACAAGTAGGCAAGGAAGTGAAATAAAGGGATCCATATTGAAAAGGCAGAAGTTAAACCACCTACAATTACAGATAACATGATCTCATATGGTACATAGAAAATCCTAAAAGATCCTCTTAAAACTATTTGAACTAATCAGTGAGTCCAGCAAGGATGTAAGATACAAGAAAACACAAAAATCAACTGTATTTCTATTTACTTGCAATATACAACCTAAAAATGCAACTAACAATTCCATTTACACTAGCATCAAAAAGGATAAAGCGCTTTAGAAAAAGTTTAACAAAAGAAGTACAAAACTTATACTTTGAAAACTTCAAAAAAATATGTTAAAAGAAACTAAAGACCTAAACAAATGGAATAACATCCATGTTTAAGGATTGGAAGGCAATATTGTTAATATGACAATACTGCCAGATTGATCTACAGATTCAATGCAGTCTCTATCAAAATCTCAGCTGGCTTCTTTGGAGAAATTGACAAGCTGGCCCTAAAACTCTCAAGGAACTGTAAGGGAGTAGTCAAAACTATGTTTAAAAAAAAGGACAAAGTTGAAAGACTAATACCAATTTCAAACTTAATACAAAGCTACAGTAATCAAAACAGTGCAGTACTGGCATAAGGACAGTAATAGATCAATGGAATAAAATAAAGAGTCTAGAAAGAAATATTTACATTTATGGTTAGTTGATTTTCAAGAAAGGTGCTGCAATAAAATGAGACATAAGAAATACATATTTGGTCATTCATATAACCAAGTATATATTTCCCAGGTATATTTGGCCTTCATCCACAGTTCCTGAAAAGCACTTTTAGGGTCTTAAAGGTGAAATGGGTGTCTTGTCATATTAATGAGAGACCCAAGGGCAGGGGCTGGAGGCTGAATTGGCCAATGGCCAATATTTAGTCAATCATTACTATGCAATGAAGCCCTCACAAAAACCCGAGAAGGGCTTACTGTCCTCTGCTGTTGGATCCTGTTTCTCAGTCAGGGAGAACTTCTCTGCTTGGGGAACCAGAATGCCTCCACATGCCACTGAGCCAGGCCCCAAACTCCACAAGGATAGAAGCTCCTTTATTTGGGACCTTGCCTATGTATCTCTTCACCTGGCTGTTAACTTGTATCCTTTACGGTATCCTGTATTAAACTGGTAATCATAAGTGTTTCCCTGAGTTCTGTTAGCTGCTCTAGCAAATTAACTGAACCTAAGGGGGAGGTCATTGCAACTTCCAATCTGTAGCTGGTAGGTCAGAAGCACAGGTAACTGCTGGGGCTTGTGACCGGTGTCTGAAGTGGAGGGAAGAGGGCAGTCTGGCACGATGAAGCCCTTAACCTGGGAATCTGGTGCTGTCTCTGGGCATATAGCATCAGAATTGAGTTGACTTCTCAGACATCCTGCTCGTGTTTGAGAATTGCTTGGTGTTATGTGTGGGAAGGCCCCCTCTCCCATACTTACATACAATGGAAAGGAGTTATACTACTATTACTGCTGTGTATAATACTATTATTATTGTTATACATAGGAAAATGCACCACTGCAGGTGTTAAGACAATTTAATGGGGCATGATTAGTCTTATCAGACAGTGGTGCTAGACAAATCATATGCAAAAAGACGAAAGACTATTGAACACCATGTACAAAACAACTCAGAATGGATCACAGACCTAAATACAAGACTAAAAGTATACAATTCTTAGGGGGAAACATGGTTAATCTTTGTGACTTTGGATTAGGCAATGATTTCTTAAACGTGACACCAAAGTGACAGGAATGAAAGAAAAAATGTATATATACTTCATTAACATTAAAAACTTATGCTTCAAAACACCATTAAAATGTGAAAAGACAACCCACAGAATGGGATAAAATACTTGCGAACCACATATCTGATAAAAAACTTATAATGTTAATTTCATTATAATACAATAAAAAAACCTAATTAAATAAATGGACTAAGTATCTGTATAGACGTTTCTCCTTAGAAGATACAGAAATGGCCAATAAACACATGAAAAGATGCTCAACATCATTCGCCATCAGGGAAACTCAAAACCACAATGAGATACCACTTCACACCTGCTAGGAGGGCTACAAAGAAGGAGACAGAAAATGACAAGTGTTGGTAAGGTTGTGGAGGGACTGGAACTCTCATACATTGCTGATGGGAATGTAAAATGGGACAGCTGCTTTGACAGTGTAGCAGTTCCTCAAAAGGTTAAATATACAGAGCTGCCATGACTCATATGATAAACAGACAAATAAAATGTTGCATGTTCATACAATGGACTACTATTTAGTAACAAAAATTTATGAAGTACTCACACATGCTAAAACATGAATGAATCTTAGAAATACTGAAGTGAAAGAAGCCAGTCACAAAAGAACAAATATTGCATTATTCAATCTATATAAAGTAACCTGAATTGGCAAATCTCTACAGACAAAAGTAGATTTAGCAACTGCCTAAGGCTTAGGGTGTGTTGGGGCTTGAGGGAAAATGGAGAGTGACTGCTAGTGGGTGCAGGGTTTCTTTCTGGGCTAATGAAAACGTTCTAAAATTGGTAATGGTGACACAGCTCTGAGAATGTAAAAAACTACTGAATTGTACACTTTAAAGGGTGAACTGTACAGTATGTAAGTTATATATCAACCAAGGTGTTATTTTTTTTAAATCCAAAGGTGCCAATTTCTCTGGACATATTTTGTTAACAGGGTTTCTTTCATGGGTGAATTTGTACTGATATTTAACAAGGAGACTAGCAGCCGAGGAGGCCCCAGTGTATTCATCAAAGTGGTCAGTGAAACAGAAAAGGATTGACAAACCACTGCTCCAGGAAAGTTTCACATCTCAAAGAGTAATGCATAGTCGTTGACCACTAACCCACTGATTCCTCAACTAGGTATATACCCCAAAGAACTGAAAATTTAAGTTCATACAAGAATTTGAACATAAATGTTCATAGATGCATTATTGAAGATAGCCTCAAAGTAGAAACAAATCCAAATGTCCATCAATTGATAAATGGATAATCAAAATGTAGTACATCCACACAATGGAATATTATTCAGCCATAAAAAGGAAAGAAGTACTGATTCATACTGCAGGATGGATGAACCTTGGAAACATTATTCTAAGTTTGATGAATTGAATACTAAAGATCACATATGATTTCACGCCCATGAAATATCCAAAACAGGCAAATCCATAGAAAGACAGGATTGCCAGGAGCTGGGGGAGTGGGAATGGGGAATGACTGCTCATGGGTGTGAGGTTTCTTTTTGGGGTGATGGAAATACTCAGAATTAGAATATGGTACTGTCGCGCCACTTTGTGAACATACTATTAGTCACAGAACTGTATACCCTATAAGGGTGACTTCTGTGGTATGTGAATCATGTACCTTTATTTAAAAAGCAAGTTTCTTGATACTACAAATATTAGTCAGCTATGCAAACTTACCAAAATTCTTTTACGGTCCTTTTCTGATAAAAATTTTACTGGTGGGTATTTCTGGGTGAAGCTGTAAACATGAAGAGATTAGAAAAGAAAAAGTTAGAGATCTCATTTGAGTATTTCATCACCTACCATCAAAACAAATGGCAGATTTTGTCACTGCTGCTGTTTGCTCCTTCTCTATTCCAAATAAGTACTATAGGTACCAAGCAACCGCTGGATAATTTGAATTCAAGAAATTCTAACCTTCCCCTTGTTCTGAATCAAGCCAAGGCTAGGACTTGAGATGCTGTCTCCGAGAAGGGAAAATGTAAGAATGTACAGACTATCAGGAGTCAAAGCTAAACACAAAGTAAGGGAGGTGCGGGGCATTCTCAAGATGGTTTATTGGGGTCTGGAAGGAAAAAAGCGGCTGAGTGACTTCACATACCCAACAGAGGAGACCGTGCCTTGCAAGAGCAAGAAACGATGTTAATCATGCTGACTCCCCTATTCTGGGAACTCATAATTCCAGCACCCCTGGGGAAGAATGCCCTGACACCATCACTTTCTCTCTCTCATGGAAGGCTAGGAGCCTGTTATAAGTCTCACATTATCTTTCAATGTCTCTTGCCCGCAGCAAAGGTGCCATGGGTCCCCAACCCACACTGATGTTTCAGGAGCAGGGCAGCATAAACAGCAATAAAACGTCAAATGAAAGTTGATAAATGCAGACTTGAAATACCCATTCTTAAAATGATTCAATTAGGAACAAACTTGCTTTAAAGAAACTCAGAGTAACCTGCTTTATAGTTACTATTTTAATTGGAAAGGTACTGGGTCTGGGCCAGTCTCCATGCCCTCCTCGTCCCCAGCTGGTACCTAAGGCATCTCCTTAATGGCCGCTCGGCTGAATAGAATAGGACAGCATTAGACAGAAGACCTTGAAGAGTGGAAGCTTAAATTGGAGACTGGAACAGAAAATCTTCTTTTACAATGCAGATCAAGTCCCCTATGAAGAGCTTCCAGATTCTCAAAGGTCAAGTTACCCTGCAGGCAGAAGAGCTGGAGGTGGGCAGGGGGGAGCCTGCCGGCCTGGGTGAGAATCCGGCCTCCCGCCTGCTGGTTCTGGGGCCCGGGGCAAACCCGCAGGGCTTTGCGCACCTGGGGCTCTGGAGCAGGGAGGGGACACCAGCCCGCCGCCACTGGGAGTGCCGCAGAGCAGGGAAGCCCGCCCCAGTCAGAGCAACAGTGAGTGCGGGAGCCCGACGGACACCTGGTGTGCAAGGGGATGCCTTCTGCACTCCGAAAACTTCAGTCACTCGTCGGGAAGATGGAAACACAAACCTCGGTAGTGTGCGGCCCTCAACCTGCCGTGATGCGCCCACCTTCTCCGAGAGCCCACACCCACCTCACACAGAGGAAGCGTCGCCTTCCCTGCAGGCAGGGCTCTGGCCGCCTTCCCCGAGCGGGCCCCACCTGCCTTCAGGCTGCGGGAGAACGCAGCTCCGCACGGGGGTCCGCGCGGCCAGGACAGGCAGCTGCCGCGGACCCCAGAGGGGGGCCGCTGGGGGGCAGCATCCGGCCGGGGCGCCCCTAGGGCGTGCATACCAGCTGCGCCCCTGAACCCAAGTTCGCGCCACGTGAGCCGCCTGGAGCAGGACCTGTCTGAAGCCTAGAGCAAAAACTGACACGCGATTTATACCAGGAAGGAAACGGCAAACGGTTTTCTCGGGAATATACTTTAAAAGAAATAAAGGTGAAGCAGAAACAGTTGCCTGACACACGGTTCTGTGCAGGCTGGACGAATAAACTACTCCCAACACCTTGTGCTCAAATGTTTCATTTAAAAAACAAAACTGGCTGCTTTCTTGCCTCGTCTTCAATATGCAACAACCAACTCTCAGATTCCACACGCAGGACCAGGTGTTAAAGCTTTTAGAAGCCACCGCACGAGTCTCGTCTCATCCTTGAGGAGCTTGGCCCAGGGTTGAGGGCGCGGCTACCCCAGCAGCTCCTCAGGGCGGCACACTGCGTGCCTTCCTGCAGCCAGACGACAGGGCTGGGCAGCGAGTGTGTGCGGGGAAGGGTGCGGTGCCTGCGTGTGTGCGGGGCTGTGAGGTGTGTGATGGGCGTGGGAGGCGAATGTGTCAGGTGAGGGTGAGGTGACTGAGGCAGGTGTGTGAGGTGCCAAGCGGGTGTGCGGTGGGTGGCAGGCGCCCTCAGCTCGGCCCGCCCTCCCCCCTGCGCCTGTGGAGCTTGCGCAGAGCCAGGCGCGCAGGAAGAAGCCCCCTGAAGGCCTGCGGAGAGGAACCAGCGGCGCAGGGCTCACCCACGTGCTCTGGGCCCCAGGACCTGTCACTGGGCCCCATTCGTCGGAACCTATGCCACCTGGGGGGCAGCGGCCAGCAGGGCAGAGGCGCCCGCCACGCGAAGTCCGCCAAGCGGGTGGAGGGGTAGAGGGGTTGGAACCTTCCCCACCTCCCAGATTAATCCCTTAGTAATTATTTTATGCCCTTTCAGGCTCTAATCTTCCTGTTTATCAAGATCGCCAGTAAGAAGTATTATTATGTAGAACTTAAATTATCATTACTGTCTATTCAAAGAACATTTAAAAATACCGAGAAGAAGTTAAACAAATGGCATACATTCAAGCTGTTAAGAAATGGGGGTGTGGTAAGGACAACAGCCCACATGGTTCATTTAGGCTTCTAAAATGGCACTGTCCCTATTTCTTCCCCTGTATAATATAATCTTTACTTTTCAGAAATATTCTTATTTCTTAGGGGTCCTCTGCCCCCAGTGACAAGCACCTCAAGACAACATATTTTCAGTTACATTTTAATTTTGCCAGCATCAAGCTGAGCATTCTTACCACACAGCTGGGAAAGATAAAACTAGACTGAGCTCCACGGATCATCACAAAGTCATGTCCGTACTTGACTTTCTAAGTAAAAGGATAACCGGGCTCACCGTCACTGACTGGCTCATCACCCTGAAGAACAGAGCCATTTTAGGATGAGCAACTAGAAAAGCAGCCCCCAGAGGCAAATACTTAACCTCTGAATCTATTTTAAAGGTAATTCTCAGTCTGGCTAAAGGAGTTTCTGGTAAATTCTTTAAGATAATGCTGTACTTGGGATTCTCTTTCCAATTTAGGAAACAGCAACAAAAAAGCATCAAGGGTCATAAAGTTCTCCTGTTTCAAGAGACCATGTGTGTAAACCATTGCCTTTGGGAAGTAATCTAATTGATTCACTTTTCTCTTCATGAACTAGTATTATTCCCTAAAGAAAATGATCGTCCATGGCAGATTGTTTTTATTTGGTGGGAGGACACCCAACATAAAATCTGTGGTAATTTTTTTCACCATAAACAATTTTTTTAGAAGCTTCAATTGAAATCTCTTGGATTATGACAGTCTTATCAAAGGGAGAATTCCTGACTCCATCCAATGAAATGTTACAAGCAACATAATTTCAAATCATGGCAAGAAAAATTTAAAGCACAAACAACAGCCTTACATTACTACTGAATCTGTTAAACAACTTTTACTCCAGTAAAAGTCAAAATTAATAGTTTGCCTGACTACCTATAAACTATCAATGGACAAGTAGAAAGTGAACAAACACATTTTGATTATTTTCCATCATTATCTTTCTTTGATCATTTAATGAAAATACCAAAATTAAAGAAAAAATGGCTTTCCATATCTTCCTTTATATTCCAGACTTGATAGAAGGCTCATACAGTGCTGATGCACGTCATTCAAACTCATCCCAAGGAAAAAATAATAATTATATGAATGTGTTTGTTTTTCTTTTTTCACCCTCTAAAGACCCAACTGCCACTCTGGACACATGAAGTTTTCCACATACACTCCACAAAACATGCCAGCGCTGCAGCTGAACAGTTTTATAGAGAATGGGACCGTGAGTGCACCCCCACATGCAGGGGGAACACACCACCAGGACAAAGGGTGAGGAGGAACTTTCTTTGCAATCTGGTTCAAACAGAAGTTTCCACCCTATTATACAATACTCCTCTCCCAGCTGCTCTACCTGGACTCAATTCTGAAAACTTAGTGAGGCAGTTTGGTGACAAAAGCAGATAAATGACTAACCATGAAATCACAGGCTCCATAATCATAATACTTATGGTGCTTACAAAGGGTACCAGATTTTCAGTCCTCCAGATTTGTTTTCTTGTTTTGGAATTCTCTTAGACCAATCAACATATGCTAGAAACTATCTGACTGCCTTGAAGTTAAAAGAAGGTAAGGCCTAGTCTCAACTTGTATGTAATGAATTTTCTGGAACTGAGAAATTCACAGGGTTTGGAAAAGCAAGACTTTAACACACCTATATCATCTCTTCATCCAGTGTTTGGACTATTTGGGTTTTATATTCAAATTGGGTTGAGAAACCAAAAACATTTATGTAGACATTTGTTTAGATTGCCAGTTTGTAGATAACACATGGACAGTGGATAACAGAGGAAGGACTTTTAATGTAGGATCTACAGTTGGGTTTCAGAAGCTCCCCTGAAAAATAAATTGATTAAATAAACAATATTGTTTTCTGGAGAGAACCCATAGTTTTCATCAGAAATGGTTCTTAATGACAAAAGAGAAAAAAAGGTCTAAAAACACTAAACAAGTAAAAAAAAAAAGTTTAAAAACAATGCATCCAAACTTTAAAGTAAAAAGTTACCTTCTCATAGAAAAGTTCTTGTCTTGAAAATGCCTTATATTTTTCATACTCTAGAATGACTCAGTTGAGATGAACTTATATTAGATATTGACCTTCTAAGGTCAATCAAATAGTATTTTCCTAAACTTAAAACACAAAGTGTATACATACCTTTTTTCCAAATCTCTGATTTTCTCTCTTAGTGGCTCAACAATCTAAAATAAAAATAACTGAAATTAGTTTTAAAGTAAAAACACAGTCTTCCACCACTTCCACCCCACTGATGTTCTAGATAGGCATGACATAATTCAAAACAGGTATTAATTTCTTCTACAATTCACTTCCACTTTGAAGTAAAGTTATACCACTTGAATCTCAGTTCTAGAATCAGGATAATATACTGCATGTTGGGAGTCTTATTCCCCAGGTGCCTAAGTCTCTGAGACTTAACCTTTTTACTTGACTATCTCACTACGAACAATGTTAAAGGTGATTTGGGCTCATAAAAACAGACAGATCAACACCACCCGCTTCTGTTCAGTAACTACTGAATCCCCTAGAGCTGCCCACAAACCCTGAACATCTTGTTTCTGCATGCTATCTCCATGTCATCAGCTCCACAGGTAAACTGCAGGCTGAGTCAACCCACACCCAAGTGTGTGAACAGTGAGTGAGCTTGGACAGAACTAGCAATCCCAGGGCTTCCCCACAACTCCAGCATCTGGCTTCATACAAAATGAGTAACTCCTGTACCCTGCACAACTCGTCTTGTAACAGTCTATCTATATTTATTTGACTAAAATGTAAGTCATTATTTTAAAGCAGAAGGTGAGTCATCAACAAGAGGAGCCCGCTTTCAGTGAGGCCACTGTGGCTCTCCATCTGCACTGCAGAAGCCCATTGTGCTCCCAGGTCCTACCATCTGAGTTGGGCTGTTTTTCCTTTTAGCATCTGCTCAGGTGAGCAGATACTGGCACTTGCTTCCACTCCTTGTCAAGATACCCACTTCCCTTTCTCTACAAAAGCTCGGAAAGGCTTACCTGGAAAGTCAGATAAGTTTAAATCTGTTCTGCCTTCAAGGTGGAATCCCTTTTACTACATCACACCTTTGTAAAATGGATAAATGCTGACCAGAGATGTATCAGCATAACAAACTGAAAGTCTCCTCATACATAAGGGATTCTTTTTTTGAGAGGTAGTTTTTCAAAATCATAGCTCAGCATCAAGCTACCACAATAAGACACTAGCACAAGCAAAGAAACTGAAGTTGACAAATAGATAGAAAAAAACAAAATGTGGGAAAGAAACCAACCTCTTCAATCTTGCTCTCAAGTTTTAGTTCACCATTTTCCTGGATAGACCTGTTGAGTAGAAAGCTACAAAACTGAGATCAATTGAAAGGCTTCTAAGACATCAAGATGTATTTCTGAACAAATTACACAGCTGGAACAAACCAAAGGCTGCGGACTCCTCCGTCCTCTTCCCAGTGTCAGTCCTGTGTCTCAACCCTTCCAGAGGGGGGTGCCCCAGGGGAAAATAAGGCATCTGGGGGAGGACTCTCCCTCCACCCACCTCACGTGCTCACTACCTGTAGGTCCTTTCTAAAATACTCTCATTTTTCATGTTATACTCAACATGGATTTAAATCAGATGCAGGAAGTGTGTCTACAGGGGCACAAGTTTCTCTGCTGGGCTTTCCTGGGGATTTAATGCAAAATGGAGTTTTTCCAAGTAAACAGACAGAGCTCCTTTATGTGTAATCTAAGCACCCCTCCTAGCCACACACAAAGCCTTCATCAGGCGACACACAAGCCCTGGTGGGAGGGATGAGATCCACACAGCCCTTCCCGTTTTGCAGGGCTAACTCCACAGGAAACGCCGGTGGGGGCACAGCCGCCCCTTGCCCTCACGGCCTTGCAGCAGCACTGACCAAATCCAGCTCAAACACTGCAATGGTGACTGCTATTCTTTTATTTTCATTACCAATTTGAAATACAGAGTGGGGTAAATTTTTCTTGAAATGTAGCACTGTACTAACAGCACCAAATTTGTTTTACAATGAAGGCTTATTAATTTTTGCTGATTTTTTTTGTTTGTTTTAGACAGTAACACAAGGACTTGACTGTTGTGAGTGTCCTTCCTGCTCTATTAAGAAGCATAAATAATACAGAGGCCAGAAGGCTCCTGTGTCCCTCCGGGAGACACAGGTGGTCTAGGCATCACCTGGCTGGTCACAGTTTCCCTTAATGCAGCTCCCTTCTCAAAAGACTTGGGTAAGCCCCCTCCTACCACCCCCAGCCCAAGCCGCCCAAAAATACCCTTACATGTTAGTGGTGTAAAAGCTAGGGTCAACCCTCTATCATCTGTAAAGGGGAGAAGGGACCCCGAGGTGGGCAATGCAAAGGAGCTGACCAGTGCAGCACCATGTTTTATCTTTCACAACTGTGCTCTATTTGGGTAAACATTAAAATCAGATTATTTCTTGAGAATATCCATAGAAGGTCAGACAGACACAGCCTAGATGCGTGAATAGCAAAAAACTCAGTTTCACTTTAAAAATATTCTTCAATTAAGACAGGACATCAAAGGTGCATATGTAACAATGGATATGTGTTTATAAAACCCAACCTGATATCTGAATTATTAGAAATAATTACCTCATATTAACGAAGTTGCCCCAAACAGCTGTAAGGAAAAGAAGAAAAAAGTCAGCATTTAAGTTTATAACATTCAAGGATTTCAACTAATACAATTTTAATCAATATTTAAAAGTTCACTAAGAAAACCAAATTACAGCTCATGAAGACAATGCACACTTTTAAGTATTAAGTCCAATTTAAAAAATTTGGAATGCTTCTTGTGGGGTTTGCAGTTCAAACCTTTCCCTGAATGTCAATGCAACCAAAACCTAGAGTCGACACTGTGGCTGAACTGCAACTGAAATTCATCCCTTCTGAGTCTCATCGCATCCCCCTTATGTGAGTTTTTGGCCTGCTGTCTGCCTCTGTGACTGTAACGCCTGGAGGGTGGGTTACCATGTGTACAGCTGGCCTTCAGTACATGTCTATGTAAGTCAGCCCAGCTCCAACAATAAGATTTTACCACTGATGACTTTAAAGACTCAACAGGAGACCAGGAGCAAATGCTTTAGGGGCTGAACAGAGGGTCACTTCACAAAGACACCTTCTCTGTGAATGAGCCATCCCAGCATTCCTATATGGCGGCCAGTGGTCATCTTCAAATGCTGACAGCCTCCTAAGGGCCAGATGCTCAGAGACGCTTCCAGACTGTGAAGAAAAAATGCAAACACCCTCCCAGTCATGGGGCGGGTGATCCCGTGAGCTAGGAAAGGCCCTGAGGTTAGGATCTATTTCTAGGCATCTTCTTATTGCCATCCTCTGGGATATAGTAGGGGTTTAATAAATGTTTCTTGAATAGGACTCCAAAATCATGCTCCCTACAAGAAATCCCCTTTGTCCAGAGGGAGATGTTGGGTCCACATCTCTCTTCAAATAGAAGAGAAACTCTTGATAGAAAATATAGCAATAAATAACCGAATAAAAGTAGCAAGTAACTAATGGAAGAAATGAAAGTTGTACTATATTCATTATTCATTTAAAAACATAAGGAATGTTTGTATCTGTGGATGTGATCTTGCTTTTGAATATTATCCTCAGGAAATAAATATATATATGAGAGCTGACTTCACAAATCATGGCCTTATTTGTCATCTAAAAAAAGGGGGAGGAAATGAAAATATCTTACAGTGGGAGAATTGCTACATAAATCATGACATAGCTATGCAACAAAATCAGAACTATGACTATGACCATTATAAAAAAAAAACACAAGAAATAACAAGTGTTGGTGAGGATGTGGAGAAAAGGAAACCCTCCTACACTGTTGGTGGGAATGTAAATTGGTGCAGCCAGTGGAACTATGGAAAACAGTGTGGAGGTTCCTCAAAATATTACAAATTTGGCTACCATATGACCCAGTTATTCCACTTCAGGGTATTTATCTAAAGGAAATGAAAACACTAAAAAAAAAACAACAACACTGTACCTGTTTATTGCAGCAATATTTGCAATAGCCAAGACAAAGAAACAACCTAAGTGTCTACCAATAGATGAATAGGTTAAGAAAAAGTAGAGCATATATACAATGCACTATTATTCAGCCATAAAAAGAATGAAATCTTACCATCTGTGACAACATGGGTGGGCCTACAGGGCATTATGCTAAGTGAAAGTCAGATAGAGAAAGACAAACACAGTATGATCTCACTTACATGTGAAATCTGAAGGAAAAAAACAAGAAAAGAAACAAAACCCAAGCTCAAATCTGTATCCATACAGAGGACAGATTACTGGTTGCCAGAAACAGGGGATGGGGTGGGTGAAATGGTGAAGTGGGTCAAAATAAAACAAGTCCTGAGGATGTGCAGTACAGCACTGTAACAACAGTAAGTAATAGTGTATTATGTATTTGAAAGTTGCTGAAAGAATAAATCTTGAAAAATCTTATCACACACACAAAATTTGTAATATATGTGGTGACGGGTGTTACCTCAAGTTATTGTAGTGATCATTTTATAATATGTGTACACCTAAAACTAATGTTACATGTCAATCACATCTCAATAAAAAGATTACAGAACTATGTTGTAACATGATAATGCAGGTATGACAGTTCCAGCTGAGAAAATATGCATGCTATATGACTTCTGCTACTGAAACATACAAAGGAAAAAAAGATTATCTGGAGAAGTAAAAATACCGAGTTTAAATGGTGAAGTAATTGTTTCTTTTTCCTTATATTTATGTGCTTACCTTGCCTTTTAAAAAGGAGGGAAAAGATTTTTAAACCCTGCTAAATGCCATGCCCCTGTTCTCAATCTCTTCCTAAACAACTTGTGAACATCGGGGTCAGTCCTCAGCTCAGACTTCAGACATTGTGGATGAACCAGGAGCTGCCAAACCCCACAGACATCTCACTGTCTCACAAATAAATACACCACCTCTTTTTGGCTTTAGGATTACACTGATTGTCAAAATACACCACGAGTGGTCCCTCTCTGTTCAGGCCACTGAACTGCATGGGAAGAATTATCCTCTCCTTCAAGTGCCTTCTGCATGGGCAGTAATTTTGACAATTTTCTCAATCATTCCATGGTTTTAATTTACTCAGTTTCTTTTTTCACACTTCTCAGTCTCTTTGTCATCACTTAGACCATCTGAGATACTACGGCTGCCGGCCCGCTCCCAGACACCTCCCTGGCTGAAGTAAGGACAGGTGGCCCCCGGCCCCAGGTCTTTTCTATGTGATAGATCCTGTCCCCTGCGAAGAGGGGGAGGGGCCTGGGGTGTGGCCAGAGAAGGCAGCACCCACAGCCACAGCTTCACCACCCTTTATAAACAGAAAATGATGGCTCTTCATGGATAATGCCCACATCTATTCTTGTGGCTCAGACCTCTTTGACTGACTCTTTGCCCACACCTGGAGATGCACCCATCTCCCCAGCTGCTCTTCCCAGTTCATGGACAGAGCTTCCTGAACCCTTCACTTGCTCACCAATCAGACCTCCATGCAACCTGTCATGGCAGCCCTCCCCCAGATTCTTCACCCTCCTGCCCTACTTGGCCTCCCAACCCCTACTCTGCCTGCAAGTGGTCTCCTTGGCCAGAGGGCACCCACCTCACCTGGGCATCCCACTCTGGGGAAAGCCTCGACCACTCTCTTGTTCCAGGGGACACAGGGAGCCCCTGTGTGTCATCACAGTGCCCACTACACACTTCTGTCTAACTGGCTGCTCAAAGGTGGGTCCCCCACTAAGATCTGGTGTTTCCTTATTCACATTTGCAACACTGAGCACATGCAGGCCAGAAACAAGAATTAGGTAAATGGAAGACAAGAAATGTTTCACTATCTTACATTTATCTCTTCCTTAGTACATTTATCTTCAGAAGTATTATACCAATCAATCTTTCAAATGTTTTTATGTCAAGTGTTTTTGGCCTCCTTCTAAAGTCTGCCCACTTTGCTCTCAGAAGCAAACTGGACCGGGCTCCCAGCACAGACCACTCACAGCAGGCAGGAAGAGCCCCTGCGTCACCACAGACTCATTCCAAGGGGAAAAAACAGGCGACTTCCAATGACTGTGGAGCACTGCTCCTGGTGTCATGTGTAAGCTAGCCTGGAGCATGATTCTGTGTGTAAACCATCTGGATATGGTGTTCAAAAGCTCAACAACGATATAAATCAATGTTGCTTTTAGAATTTTGCAACCTGCTTTAGACAATTTGACCCACCTTACCGTGTCTCAAAAGAATAGCTAGGATTTACTAATAGATGATGTACTCTATAAATATTTGAACTAAACTGAACTATATTAAATCTATTACATCTAGAAAAGGATTCAATATTAAGTATTCAAGAAAAAAGGTAATCATTCATAATTACTAACAAGGGGCTTAAAACTAACCTCCTTATACAGTTTTCAAGATAATTTCTTAATTTTTACTATAAATTTTTAAAATTGCATGCAAACTGAGGCACATGGATTTCAGTTCTCTCTCTGTCCTATCTATACCTAGATTCCATGCCACACACAGGGAAACCCAGTTCAAGAACATCAATGACACAGAAATTTTCATGTAGGGCAAAAAACTCAGTGGTTTTCAAGGGAATGATTAAAACTCTGTCCTTTTACAACAAATAAAAATAATAAAATGCTAAGCCAACATTGTGGTAGTCTCTATTAGTCTAACTCGGTTTCTTAAATATGAATCAGACATCAGTTGAGATAAACCCTGTTAGAACACAATTTCTCAGTCTGTAATCTGTGGGTCTCTAAGGATTCATGAATGAGTTTCAGGAGTTTCTAATTTCAGAAATCCTTGAAAGTCTACCATGCATACATAGCTTATCAAATCCTCCATAAAAGCTAGAGTTTTAAGTGCTGCACTTGTAGAGTTTTTTAGAATAGGGGTACATCCCAAATCCTTAGATGCCAGCCACATGGAAAGTACAGACTCTTCACCAGCAATCCTGACACCCTATTTTAAGAACTGTTACAATAGTGAACCAGACAGAACCACCCTTTCCATTTCACACCTGTGCATTTTAAATGGCTGCAATGTTTATCATGCTTTTATTGGGCGTTCTGATCTGCACCTTAACCTGGAAAGCACATGGACTTCTACACTAAGTCCAGAAGAAGTCTCCTGCAGGAGGGCATACGCCTCTGTAAGGGGGATGGAAGGCATGACTGCAGGCAAGCGCTGGTGCTCAGACATCCGACCAGGCAGCACACCCACCGGGCAGTGGGAAGGGCCCTGGCTGACCCATGCAGACACCAGGCCTTTTCTTTCCAGTGTTGCCTTAACTCCCTCCTTGCTCATCCATCGGCCAGCCATCTAGCAAAGCTGGTGCCTGCAGATGCATGGAGGGTAAGGCCCCGCGGCCACGCACAGCAACCACACCGCTCATGACAGACAGGGAGGACACCAAGAGGAATGGGCCAGAGAAGGTGTCCCAGAGCTGGCTGATGGCTGGCAAGCTGCAGCATGCATCCATCTGCAATGACGGTGGGGAGCAGCCTGACCCCACTCATGAGGGAAAAGGTGGAGCACAGGTATCCACAGGGCCCAGGGGAACTAACCCAGATCATGAGAACACAGTCC